CTTCAGTTTCAACCAGCAAGGTTATGACATCTGCATAATGCAGGTTGTTGATGAGTCTTCCTCCAATCTTGATGCCACATTCCTCCTCCTAAAGTCCAGCCTCCCAGATGATCCATTCTGCATATAGATTGAAAAAAGTATGGGGATAGGATACATCACTGGTGTACACCTTTCCTGATCATGACTTCCTTGTTCTGACAATTGCCCCCTGGTCCAAGCTTAGGTTCTTCATGAGCACAATCAAGAGTTCTGGGATTCCCATTCTTCTCAAGGTTAGTCACAATTTGTTGTGATCCACCCAGTCAAATGCCTTTGCAGAGACAATGAAACACAGACCATCTGGATGGTCAATGACAAAGTTATAAGAAGGATGTTTTCATATCTTCCTAGCACATTGAAATTTGTTTGAAAATAACTTGGCAACATGAGTTAAAATCTTTTGAACTTTGGAAAGTTCTAAACTTCAGAAATTTCATCCTTTTTGATCCAGCCATTTCTACAAATTTGTTTTAAAAAAATAAGACATGTAGGACAAGATTGAATAGCCAAGGATATTTATGACACAATGTAGTTTAACACAACCCGAATGCCCAACAATAGGGGGGAAAGCTAGATAAATTATGATCCATGATCCAGACCATGGTCTTTGCAATTACTTGTTACGCTTCAGAGAGTTGGACAATGACTAAGGATGACATAAGAATTGATGCCTTTGAATTGTTGTGCTGGAGAAGAGTCTTGAACATACCATGGACTGCCAAGAAAACAATTAAGTCTGTCTTAGAGAGGGTGAAACCAAGTTTCTCCATGGAGATGAGGATTTTGAAGCTCTGTCTCACATACTTTGGGCACATGGCCAGGAAAGACTGGTCCATAGGGAAGGACATCATACTCGGAAGGGTGGAGAGACAGCGCAGGAGAGGAGAACCTTGGATGAAATTAATTGATACAGTAACTGGGGCAATGGGGGTTGGTGTGTTGGAATTAGTAAGACTGGCTCAGGACAGGGCAGAATACAGACCTGTTGTACATAGGGTGACTTTAAGTCACAGGTGACTTGATGGCACAACCCAAGTGCCCATCAACAAATGAATGAAGCTGTGGTATAGTCACACAATGGAATATTACGCAGCACTGAAAAACAAGGAGCTCATGAAATATTATACAAAATGGGTGGCCCTCGAGGCCATTATTCTGAGTGAAATATCTCAGTCACAAAAGGACAAATATTGTGTAGGGCCATTGTTATAAAATGAGAGTGATACTGGGATGGGTAGGAATCTAAGAAAATGGGATGAAGGAGAGAACGGTTTAAAAGGAATATAGGATTAGGAATTATTTTCATGATAAGATCACAGATAAAGAAATGCATAGTAAAGTGGACTGTGGACTTGGGGGGGCATTGTACAAAAATGGAAGAAATTTTTTTTCTTTTCACAGATAAAAATGAACTGGGGAGAGGGCTGGGAAGGGAGGAAAATGTACAACAATGAATGAATGGGGAAAAATTAAATGGAAAGAATATGCTGTAAAAAATATATATGTAGAAGGGAGCTCTGGTGGCCTAGTGGCAAGAAGTTGCACTGCAATCCCAGAGGTACACGGTTCGAATCCACCAGATCCTCTGCTGAAGAAGAAGGGCAATTTCCTCCTGCGCCTGCCAGATCCAATTTGACGGTACATACAAAACAATAAATTTAAAAAAATATATATGTTGCATTTAAAAAATCATAAATAAAAAAATGCAAAAAAGCCTTGTCAACCTATGTGGCAGTCCTACTTTGTCTTATATAAGATCACTGAATTGGAATCAACAGGAGTGGGCTGGGCTTGTTTTGAATTATTGGCATTAAAATATTAAAAATTTTAAATTATTAAATTTTAAGTATTAAAATAGTGAAAACGTTGTTTTTAAAACTATAGCAAACTTAGTAGGACATGAGTAGTATCTCATGTAAATTTATACTTATTATTAATAAAGTTGACATTTCCCCCAAATATTTGTCAACTGAATCCCTTCTTCTGTAAAATTGTCCATTACACCCCTTTCCTATTTTTCTACTAGGTATTTGCAATTTTCTTCTTGATCTGTAAGAGGTTTCTACATATTATTTGTCACACCTGCTTTAAATCTCCCTCTGCCATGATTAAAATACCTGACTCCTACTCTATGGAAACCACTCCCAAATATGAGAGAAAAAAAAAAACTAGTCAGAGTTTGGTAAGGAAATAACTTGTGGATAAAGGAAGCCCTGGAGATGGTGGAAAATTTGGACAAATCCTAAGAGTATTCCAGGGTAATGGGAGATGTCTTCTGGGTGAATAAGGAGGATTAGATGAGACCTGTGGGCCCAGGGACTTCTCATGCCGAGGGACCTCACTATCCAAATGAGAATTCCTCAAGGGTTGTTGGGGAGATGGCTGGGAAGAAACTAACAGTGGCTGAGTAGCTGGTGCTGGACTGTCCGTGATTCCACTTAGTTATTTTAACAATGTCGTCACACAGATATCATTATCCTCATTTTAAGATGGGGGCAACTACTTGACTACCTACTTTTCCACCATCACCAGGAGAAGGAATTAGAACTGAAGTCAGGGTTCATAACCTTTCTGACTAGAAAAAAAACCCCAAAAACAAAACAAACACACAAAAACAACAAAACAAAACAATCTGCTATCAAGGGAGTTCCACCTCACAGTGACACTCTGTTGGGCTGTAAATCTTTACGGGGATAAGACGATGGCAGCCCAGAGTGCACAACACTGCATTTACCAGAGCTGCTCTTGACAGGAGCCGTTAGAGAACGGGGGCCACGGCGGGTGTCTAGTCGCTACAGATTTAAAAATGCTCTAATTGGCCCTAAATGCCAAGCCAACTAAATTCTACCATGTTCTCCTATGTAAATATCTACTCTATCTGTTTCTTATTTTAAAATAAAAGCTGCTATGTTCATTTGGTAACAAGTGTGATACTCAGTGATTTCCTTCAGAAGAGAGAACAAGTCTATGCTGGGGTATATAAAAGCATCACTTTCCTTGAGTCCTGAAGGGAACTCCTCAGGGTCTTGTTCCCCTACCCCAGGGGAGGGAAACATGGTTAGCAGAGCAGCATGGACTATGATGAACAGGAAGGCTTTCAAAAGGGGTATCCATTGTTTTGAAAGAAAACATATATTTGTTTTGATATTATTTCTTGTCTATGAAGATCTCTGCTGCTCAGGAACATCTATTTTCCCCTCTGGGCAACAGAGGAAACTGTGGCCAGGTGAGACCTCTCCCATAGCTGTCTCTTCACGTCCTCCATGCCACCCACCACCGAGTGTTCAAATACTCTCTTTGGAGGACACCCCCCTCCCCAACGTTTACTCAAATCTGCACACTGCTGTACTGATGCTGGGATGAGAGAGAAAAACAAACTTCTGGTGTGTGTTGTTGTTGTTTTCTTAATTAGTCTTTCTCCCCCACCCCCACTTTTTTCCACTACATGAGAAGATGGTATTTATTAGATTTGAACGTTTCATCCAAATTATTTATGATCAGATTAGATCAGCTCAGGTATACAGGAGAAAAGGTATCCAAATACAGTGCCAAAGTTTCAAATCTCACCTATTATTCACCCTCTTTATCTTAATCTACTTTTGAAGCACTTGCTGCAGAGGGTCAAGAACTGCAGCCTCCAATATGGATTGAGGCTCAATGTCAAGAAGACAAAGATTCTCACCACTGGACCAATTGGCAGCATCAGGATGGATGGTGAAGAGATTGAGATTGTTCACAGCTTCAGTTTGCTTTGCTCCACAGTCAACACTCTCGGCACCAGTAGCCAGGAAATTAGAAGATGTATTGCCATGGGAAAGTCTGCTGTTAGGGGCCTCTCCAAAGTACTGAAGAGCAATGGTGTCTCCTTGGAGATTAAGGTGCGTCTGATACAGGCCATGGTCTTTGCTATCATCTGTTATGCATCAGAGAGTTGGACAATGACTAAGGAGGATAGAAGGAGAATTGATGCCTTTGAGTTGTGGTGCTGGAGAAGAGTATTGAGAGTACCATGGACTGCAAGGAAAACAAACAGATTCATCCTGGAAAGGGTCAAACTGGGCTGCTCCTTGGAGGCAAGGATTCTAAGGCTCCGTCTAACATACTTTGGACATGTTGCAAAGAGGGACAGATCCTTGGAGAGGGACATCATGCTTGGTAGGGTGGAGGGACAGTGCAGAAGGGGAAGGCCCACTATGAGGTGGATTGATTCAGTGACTGGGGTAATGGGGATGGGTGTATTGGAGACGGTGTGATTGGCACAGGACAGAGCAGAGTTTAGGGATGTTGTACATAGGGTTGCTATGAGTCACAAGCGACTCGACGGCACACAACAACAACAACAACTTTTTACAAGAGGTATTTCTTTCAATTTAACAGTATGAAATAGTAATATTTGTCTTAACACTCACATACTATTTTTTTGTTGTTTTTGTAACAGCACTGTGGAAATAGTAGTGTTATGGAGCCTTAAGACAAGAGAAGGGTCCCCAAAGTTTAAATAGGAAATGAAAGTCAGATCTGGTAATAGATCCCAAATCAGGGAAAACAGTTTGGGCAGAAAAGGTCAGAAAACTAAGCAAAATGACTGTGTAACACAGGCCAGAATTTAGGAGAACCCCGTACACAATAGGTATTTAGAGCCCAAATGTGTATACTGATGAGAATTATAAGGTATCAATACCAAATATGGCCCTAAATTGGACTTACAAGTTTTTGAGAAAAAAAAAAATTGGGAAGTATTGAGCCTTGGCAATGAGAAACCAAGACAAATGATCCATCAGCCTTGTCTTGAAGAAGGAAAATAGGTCAGAGTTTGCTTCTAAACCTTTTAAAGTGTTTCATTTTAAGGCACACTCTTCATGTAAAAGCACACACATAGAAAGCATCAAGTATTCACCAGGTATAAGCAGCAGTCAGGCGTCCTCTCTGAGGACCAAGATGTGTGACCCGCGAATCCTTACCTGCTCCCCTGAGGGGCAACACCTTCATTGGCAGCTGCAATTTCTGTCTGCTGTGGTCTTCAGATGCTCCTGCGCTCTGCATTTCTGGGCTGACTGTCAGTCTCCCCAGGTTTGGCCTCCTCTTCCTTGATAAAATCTGGGGTGCCTGGGCAGCTGGAAGGTGCAAAATCTTTTCAATAACTCATTTTTACAGGGAAACATCTTCTCTACAAAGACTGCTCAAAGGGCCCAGCAAAGGAGGCAGCTGAGAGAATGAATGAATTGTCCTTGGAGTCAGAGAAGAGCTGGATACAAAGCTGGCTGAGCTGGAGCAAATGGTTTCGCCTCTGGAAGCCTCAGGTTCTCATCTGTTACATGGAAATAATGGTGCCTACTTCACAGGGATGATGGGAGGGCTGTGCCCATAAAGCACTGGGCAATAGGGTGGTCACAGGACTGCTTTTGTCATGAGTATGACATCTCACTAGAGAGAGAGTCTGCAAGAGTCCTTTCTTTTGCTAAGAAGTCTCTAGTTTTTAGCCCATAGTGTTGGGATGGGTCTGTTTGTGATACTGTCTAAAGTCCTCTACAGCTCAGATTCACAGTCCTGCTCCCCCTACAGAGCTCATCCAAGTTTGAGTCACAACATAGTTTGGATCTGTTGATGTCCAAAGGTCCTTTATTAACAACTAACATGGTCTGAGAGAACAGTCCCAAGCACTGGGGACCATACAACTTCTTGCCAAGATGCTATCCACAACCATGCTGAGATGATTCACTCAGAGGACAACAGCTGAAGAGCTACTGTGGATTGTGCCCCTAATGATTAATAATTTTTTTGCACAATTTGTATTAGGTTGATAATTAGGTGGTGGTTGTTGTGTACGATGGAGTCAGAACTGACCCACAGCTGACCCTTCAGCGGGTTTTCAGAGGCAGTTAATCTCACAGGAGGAGATTGCCATCCTTCTCCTGTGCAGCAGCTGGTGGATTTGAACCACTTTCCTGTGGGGTTGCAGCACAGATTCTTACCATTAGGCCACCAGAGTGAATTAGGTTAATTATATTTAACCAGGTATGTAATCAGGTTGCTAATGAACAATATCAAGTTTCTTCTTCACATGTATTAAGTGGGAGTATCCAAGAGTGTGGAGAAAGAGTTTCCATCAAATCCACACATTGCCACACAAATTCTGGGTTCACAAGCAGTGAATTTGTGACTGTCTGGACCCCAAGAGCATGTGCCTGACTCAACTCTTTTGGAATGAGTTTATAAAGTTCACAAATAGATGCAATCAAGAGGCAACACGGGTAAATCTGGGAAGGATTTTTGTTATGTATTGGAAAGTCACCATTCTTGGCACGAGGAGACAACTAGATTTATGTCCCAGAGTGAAAGTTGTCACTGTATAAATGATTTCTACTCAAGTTCAAGAAAGGGGTAAAAGTTCTACTTGGCATCTCAGGAAACATAATAGAACGATTATGCACCATGTACTTCTCTTGATAGACCCCAGGGAAAGATTCAGCACAACTCCACTCCTTGCCATCAAATTGGAACTGACTCATAGCGGGCCTTCCAGTGGGAAGTACTTAAGAGGTGATTGCCCAATTTTTCACCCATGTAGAAGTTGGTGAATTTGAACCTCTAGAGAGGCATGGCCTCTGAGTTAGCTGTGCAATTCTAAGACTATGACATCAGGATTAGTTTTACAGGAAATTTACAAAGACTATGGGAATGGCAGTGTGTTAGCCCTACCTTAAGGCAAGTTGGTAGAACCCATTGAAGTTACGCGTGTGACTAGCCAAGAAGAGAGGGGAGTGAAGTTCTTTAGGAAATGAGGAAATAAGCTTTGGAGGGTACAGGGTGGTGGTTAGACATGAATCCTCTGACTGAACCTGAGAGAAGAATGAGAGAGCAGATCAAGTACTTTTTATGAAGAGATAAATCACTCTCTCAGGACCAAGAATTTTATTCCTCAAATATCCTTCCCATCTGACACATGGAAAAACTTCCTGATGCTATTTCCAACTCTCTAGTTCTAACTGCCTGTCTCTTTTACTATGGCTGGAAGAGGAGAAAGGAAAAGGATTCTGACTTGTTCGGGATGACACACGGGCAGGATAAAACATGGGGTTGGATTAGGGCTCTGGTCAAATCTGGGACCCAAGTCAAGATCTGGACCAGAAGTCCTGGTTAAAATGATTGCACTTTGATTCCCAGGAAGACTCTTGTTAGGTGCTGCTGAGCAGTTAACCTATGATGTGAATTGTGCCCTATGCTGTGTCATCCTCACTCACCATCTGATACACTTGAGCCCACTGCTGCAGTCACCTTGTCAACCCACCTCACTGAGAGTCTTCCTTTCTTTCTCCATCTTTCTAATCACCATACGCCTTTTCAAGAAATAGCCTCTCCTAGCAACACATCCAAAGAATGATACATGAAGCTTTACCATCCTTGCCTCCAATGAAGACTCTGGCTGTACTTTTTCTAAGACAGACTTTTTCATTCTTTCATTCAGCACATGGGGTATTCAGCAATCTTCTCCAACACCACTCAAAGGCATCCATTCTTCTTCTTCTGTCATGTTATTCTTTGTCAAGCTTTCAGATGCATAGCAAGTGACTGAAAAGACTGTGGCTTGAATCAGACACGTCTTAGTCATAACAAACAGTATTGCTCTGCAGTATTTTGGAGAGGTCCCTGAAAGCAACCTTGCCCAATCCCATGTCTTCTGATCTCCTGACTGCTCTGGTACCAAGGATTGATTGTAGATCCTAGTAAGATAAAACCATTAACAGTTTCATTCCCTCTCCATCTATCATGATGTTACATATTGGCCCTGTGGTAAGAACCTTTGTCTTCTTGATGTTGAAATGCAATCTACATTGAAGGCTGTAACTTTTAATCTTCTGCAACAAATGCTTCAAGTTCTCCTCACTTTCAGCAAGCAAGACTGTACCATCTGCATAGTGTGGGTTGTTGATGAGTCTTCCCCTGATTCTGATGCCACTTATTTTTCATAGAGTCCTGGTTCCATGGATTATTTGTTCAGCATACAGTTTGAATAGGTATGGAGAAAAGACACAACCCTGGTGCACATCCTTTCTGATTCTAATTCCCTTGTTCCATTTGTACAACAGCTTCTTGATCTAAGTATAGATTTTATATGAGCACAATTAAATGTTCTGTACATTTTTCATAATGCCATAATTGTTACCCATGGTGGACAGAGTTTAGTAGAACTACCAGATTAAGACAGGCTTGGCAGCAGGATTGGCATCCACTTCCTAAACAGGCCTTGGAAACTCTAGGAACATTAGAGAAACAGCGATACAGAACAGGGTTTAGATCTTTTGTTCATTGAGTCGCTATGAGTTGTACTCGACTCAACACTTAACGACCACAACAACATTGTTCATAGTCTTGCCTACCTCAGCTCGCCTACATACCTTCATGGGGAGCAATCTTTCCCCACAGAGAACCTTTCTTCTAGTCTGTACCAGCCAGAGGACTGTTTTTAGTTTTGTCCACCAAGTTGTCTCTCACTCTACTTTGGCTAGAACCTTTACTATCATCATTCATATGGTCTTTATAGTGGTCAAAGGCCCTAAAATTTCAAAATGTGTATCTGTCCTATGTCTCCAGCTAGAATATAGACTTAAATATGGGAAAATCTGAAACCCAGTGTGAGTTCTTCACAATATGTAGCATTGTGCAAGCCAAACATTAATTGCCCTGTGACATATTGGAAGGTTTTGAGAACTTGCATTCATCTGAAACTATGAATAATTCCAAAACTAAAGCAATTCTTTTGTTGTACAGCGCAGGAGAGGAAGGCCCTCTATGAGGTGGATTGATTCAGTGACTGGAATAATTGGGATGGGAGTGTCAGAGACAGTGCGATTGGCACAGGACAGAGCGGAGTTCAGGGCCGTTGTACATAGGGTCGCTATGAGTTGCAGGCGACTCGACGGCACATAACAACACCAACAACAATATATATTTTAAAAATCCAAGATGGATTAAGAGATTCTTTTATTTGCTTTCTTGTTAAAAAGCTGCTCTTTTTCCAAGGCATCAGACCTCTTAAATTATTTCCAAATTAATTTCTATTTCTTCTCTGATCTAATTTCTGCAAACTAAAGCAACAAAAGCAAAGGACCAAGATTGTTTTACCAGAGTCTGAGAGTGATTAAATCACTATTATTGTACAGGCAGGATTCTCCAAGCTTAGGCAGGGTGAATCTCAGTTTCTGTAACTGTAAAATGGGAATATTGAGTCTTACCTTTCTATGTTACTGCAGAGGTTAGCAATAACACACCTAAATGGTCCAACTGGTATCTGGTACATATTAACTACTAAAAAGGGGCAATTACTGCTTTAAACAACATTGGGATAAAAATAGTAATAACAACAACAACAACAAAAAGTCTGAAGTGATTCTTATGAGAGAAGTGAATTTGTCCAGAAACTGACTGTTACATAGTCCTCACAAGTGGAGAACAACTTTTTTCAGCAGGCTTCATTCCTCTGTAGTTCTTGTTGAGTCTCTCTTTCATCTCCCTTTAGTTGAAATCCAAAAGGCAAATAGCAACCCTTTTTATTATAATTTGTTCAACAAATACCTGCATGCCTTTGCTATGCAATAATTTGAGGGTTCACAAAGATGAGTAAGACGTTTTTGTCCTGACCTTAAACATTATAATCTAATTTGGTTTCACGGTTGACTTCTTGCCTGTGCTAACCTCTAAATTCTATGGAAAGTAAACTCTTGCGAAATATTCTTTATTCTCCACCTGCAATCTCATTAGCCAATAAGGTGTCCCTACACTGCATAGCTTGTACGTCTCTATGTATCTGCATTTAAACCTTTTCACCATACAATTTCTATGCCAAATTCATCACCCACACTCCAAAATGAACCAAACTCCAGACCTTTGACATCTTCTTTAGCGAGGTCTTCACCATGGCATGTTCCAACAATCTCCAGAAAGGCCAAGATAAAATAGAACTTCCTCTTTCAGTAACAGGACAACCTATCTGCTTCACAGAAAGGGGTGACTTGTGCTCAAGAATCTCATTGCCAGGTAACTCAACATTCGGAAGAGCGATTAGTACCTTCTGAGAAGACTTGGTTTGCTTAGTCTTTGGGTGGCACAATCAATT